TTACGCTCTTACTGTTAATGAAACTAATTAGGATTCCTTATTCTATATGTAATGCACTAACCTGCTTCAGCATATAGGCAGTAGCCATGCCAAGTATGGCTCCACATGATCCTTGTAACTCTCTTGACTGGCAATGTTCATAAAGTCTGCAGGGCTGCTCTGCATTGGCCTTCTGCTTTGTGGCTAACAGGAGGAAGTTGCTGAGGATTTGAAGGCTCACTTGTTGGTCTCCTGGTTTGGGGGTCAGTTCCTGGTATATGATAATCAAAGTATTATTAACCCACGAATGTGGAGGCATTGCTGCCTCAGTGCAACAGTCACAATGTGCATATTCATAAGTATTCATAATATTTTTTTTTCTCACTTATTCAACAAGTATTTGTACAATTGAATAATTGAAATTTTAATTAATAATTTCTGTATATTAATGGCTTTTCAATAGCTATGTAATAAAAAACCAATATGAAATAAAGAGTCAGTGTAAATTTTTGTGCAAGCCACTTTCTTGTTTTGAGCTGCTTAGCTCTGTGAACTTATATAATAATCCCTTATTTTTATGCTAAATAATAGCATAACTTAGTAGAGAATGAGTGCAAAAAATTAAGTAAATGTGTTAAATGAGCGCATGCATAGTAGGGTGTGCCACACGGAGGCGAATTTTTTTTTTTTTGAGTTTGAAAATCGGCCCATGGTATTAATGATGTAGTTCTATGTGCAGAATCGTTGATATCTTCAGATTTGAAAAGTTTTCATTTTTGCTAGGTAAATTTTAACTTGAAATCTTATGAAAATTCAGTATTCTACCCCTTTTACCAACACCACTAAATAGCTTATTTAAAGTAAAGTAAATGTATCAGGTTAATTTATTAGGATGAAAATGATCCAGAATAGTGAAACGAATGATCTTGACACATTTATTAAATTTAATATTCCTTTAGAAAACAAAATCATCAAATACAAAAACCGGTTTTACTACTACGACCCGTGTTGCTGCACACCATAGAGAACATGTCTTTCTTGCTTCTGTTTCTACTCATCACCTCCTGCTGACCACCTGAGCCTGGATGTAGCTCTCTCCTGGCTGTACGCCACACGTGATCAAGCACCAGCCACTTGCTGTACACAACGCCTATATTCTGGGTGTGCGAAAATAGGCAGGGACATGCATGGGGTTGTCCAGGAAACCCACCTGAACATTGGTGAGGCTGCAGGTAAGAGGGGCTCACTGCCAGCCTGCATGTTATCCATTAGATCTGAGATCAGTGAGGGTCTTGGCACTCTAGATTACCCCAGGAGTCTTCCTGACCCTGAAGGAATCGCTACCAACTGATTCACATGCCCAGATCCTCCTTTATGTCTCATATCCAAGATCTTTTGACTGCCACTCTTTCTCCTCCTCATCTCATTGTAGAGCATGTCTGCAGAACTGCTCGGGATGAGCATAACAGGAAGATCTCCCTCACAGTCTGCTCCTCGAGCTCAAGCTGGAAGAGAACATGCCTCGGACCTTCGGAGAACGATGACTTGACCTTGGTGTTAAACCAATTTGGCAAGTAGACACTCACGATGAATTGGACAATAAGTCTCAGGTTGTGAAGCTGGTTCCCTTTCAGTTTATGATGAGCGACCCAAATTCTGCAGAAACTGAGAGCCGTTGTGAGCCACCTAGAATGTGAGACTGGACCTATCTGCAGGTAAGCAAGTCTATCAGGCATGACCCCAGTTTTGATGGCACTGCAAATCATGCAACCATAGTACTGGTCAGTACTCAGGTCGTCAATGACAGTATGTGCAAGCTCAACGAGTGGAGGGCCAACTGTGATTTTTTCAAAGCTCGGATTTATTTTTAACTCAGTGGCAGAGTCCAGCATCTTGCCAAGAGGACCAGACCATCTGTTGTTTGAAAGAGTCTTGCCATCCAGCTCCTGGATCAGATGTCTGAGTGGCAACTCGTTGGTGTGGAGGTCACAAACAATCCAGACCAGCTTCCCTCCACTTCGCCTATCCACTGTGGCGACCCCCTTGCCACCCTGTGTTCGTGTTGGTGCTGTCCCCTCCAATGGCCTGCAGGGTCTGGTCTACATTCCTCTCTCTGAGCCAGTTCACAATGTTATCTGCCACTATCTCAGCTGGTTTCCTGATGTCATCTTTCTCTGGAGTGAAATGCCACAAATACTTCCCTCCTGGTTCACTGCAGCAGGAGTAGTGTTCCTCCTTCACCATGGCAGGGAACAACTTGTCAGAATTTCCAACTTTCATGAACACTTTAGTGTCATCATCCCTTCTCCCATCAAAGAACAAAACAATTGATTCCATTTTCATCCCTTTATCAAACTCCCAGGCTTACTGACAAGTTTCTCCCTGAGCTCTCCTTACTTTGTTATGATCTATCACCAGGTGAACATCATCAGGTGCAACAAACCACCGCCAATCCAGGCAGCTGTTGCTATCTCTGCAGTTTCTCTGAGACCAGTGTGGTGTCGTGATGCTGGCCAGAGCCATGCTCGATATCTTTTCCTATTTCGAATCTTATGCTCGAAGGTTTGGGATCATTATTTTCTGGGTTAGGGACAAAGTCACCATTCTCCTGGTCAGCACTCGGATCAGCCATGGGGAAGTCATTAAATTCTGAATCAGCTTGACTCCAATCATCGGCCTTTTTACCTCACCCTGGGCCTTCTCAAGTCTCTTTTCCTCGGCAACTCTTCTCCTCTTCTGTCTCTCTGTGGCAGCCTCCTGTCTCTTGGACTCCGGATTATCTTGGCTAGAAATCATGAGAGCCCCTATACTGCTAGTCTTCTCTCTCTGTGCTTTGACAAATGCCAGTTCGATCACAGGAATCTTCAGTTCACGCTTGCAAATACAGGAGATGTGGGCCTCGGATTTACAGTCACGATCGTGATCCAACCCAGGACAGAGAAACGTCTGGGCACTTGCAAGTAATTATGTCAAATAATTGGTCCAGTTGCTTGGCAAAGCTGTCCTTAACTGCAAGTTTTCCTCTCCCAAGAGAGATATCTCTTGCCTTTTCCCAACTGGCTAGCAGTCTCTCACTAATCTTCTTCTGACTTGATATGACTGGAGGCTTGAACTGAGCGTTAGCCAGAGTGTACTGTGCCAAGACAGCTTTGGTCATATCACTGGCAATGTCTTTGTTTGTGTAAGTTCTTTGGTTCTTTTCACTGATTTGCCTGATTAAAACACCGTATCTCAAAGCATCTCACAATGTAGGCAACTCAGACTTCAGGAGCTCTCTCCCAGACCCAAGATAGTGACTGAGATGGCTAGATTTTTGGTTCCTCGTCCTGACACAAGCAGCCATTGCAAATATTATCAACTTATAAATGCATCAGAATCTGAAACAGAAAAAAATATTGTTAGTTGGGTTGTTAAAGAATGAAGTCAGAAAGCAATGTTCACTATTTCATTGTAATGCACTAATGCAGCTGTACGTTAGATTTTCGATAAATTTCACGCTAAAATTTACCTAGCAAAAGGTTGCAAAATATTGAAACTGAAATTATTTTCTGTTTATATACACAAAAATCTACTAAAAAGGTGATGGGCCATTAGTTTTAGCTGATCTTCCCTCCTATGACACACCCTACAGTGTATTATTATCATCATTATTTTATTATTTTATTTTTGTTTGTTTTATCATAAATTTTATTTATTATGAATTATTATGACTATTATTTATTATTATTATTATTATTATTATTATTATTATTATCATTATTATCATTATTATTATTATTATTATTATTATTATCATTATTATTATTACATTTTTGCCCCCCAGGCCCCGATGTGGGTCAGTGACCTGTGTCCAGGTGGGCTAATCCCGTAAAAAAAAAAAAAAAAAAGACTTTAGAGGTGTTATCCGAACAGAAGCACCAGCCCAGAAGTTATGTTACAGCCTGGTTGAGATGTCGACTGTCCTCTCTCCTTAGGTCTGCTTTGCTATGCTTGAGGGGAACGAGAGCATCAGCCCCAAAGCAGGCAACAGCTGCAGATATTGACTATGAGTCAACAGTCACTGAATGCTGCACAGATCTACGGCTCAACTAACTCAACATAGCTAGGGTAGCTACTTATGTATTAAGATACCTGTAGTTAATTTGAAGGTAATAAAATGGCAGCAAGGTGTGGCTATTAGGGGAGGCTATGAGTTTGACTCCCCTCAGTGCCACGGATTATAATCTGAGCCCTTGTCCACCCCACCGTCCCACCAGGCCAGCCACCCCAGCTGACCACACAGCTTGACCGACTCTCTACTGCCAGCTACACTCCCCTCACTAGCTCCGATATGTCTAAGTTGGCTGCTAGAGTAAAAAATTCAAATTTCACGAAACAACAGTTGACTGATGTGATTATGAAAGACAAACGAACTCTCATACAGGACATCATACAACACATGAATATGGAGACCATTGAGAAACTAGAGGAAGCTGACCGGCGTCTCACTGACCAGCTATGTGAAGTTAGAAGCTTGGAATTCTCGCAAGGGGAAATAAGTGACTTAAAAGCAGTTGAACGTAGAAGCAAAAGAGAACAGAACACTCGGGACCCAAGTTCAACAGCCGAGCGAGGAGAATTCCAAGCTTAAAATGGAACTAACAACAACAGTAGACCAGGTAGATTATGTGGATGATATAAGGCAGCGAAACAACCTCAGGTTTACCGGAGTCCCAGAAGATCTCCACGAGAACTGGGAGTCATCCCAGCACAAAATTTCACACCTGCTGAATGAACATTTTCAACTTCCTGAAGTCAAGTTTGACCATGTTCAACGCATCGGGAAATCCAACTCCTCCCGCCCCCGCGACATCAGAACAAAATTATCATCCCTCTCTGACCGAGACAAAGTGTTCTATCAGTGCAGTAAGATGAAAGGCATCACTACCTTCGTCAACGAGGACCTCTGCCCAGTTACGACTAAAGCACGCCTACAGCAAATGGACCAGTTTAAAGAAGCCAGGAGACAAGGGAAACACGTGACGTTAAGTCATAAAACCCTTGTTGTGAGGGACTCTCGGGAGAGTGGACACCCACCCACTCACCCACCCGCTGCACCAGCCCCCCCCCCCAAGCCCCTCGAGAACCCCCTCCCCACAGATGGGGAACCAGCCACTGCCAATGTTCGCAACCTGGCTATCACCTGTGGAATTTCCCCCCCTGCTGGCCAACTTGGGTACTACGCGTCCACCCTCTGTGGTGGAAACCAGCAACCCTCAAAACCAAGTGACA